TGAGTAAATGTCTATATTACCCTTAATGAACATATAATTTTGACTTTTTTTTAACCATTAGATCATCCGATCTAATGGTTATGATTTATTCTCATTTCTTACATGGAGAACAATTCTCATGTGAACCCAACCTTATATATATATATATATAAAAATCCACGACTAAAACAAAGGACCATCATGAAAGTGAACTACTTTCAATCCTCCATTTGATTAGGTTTCCATTCCCCTCCATCGCGCAGTTCAAGTCTCCCGACCTTATCTCTTTGTCCAACAAGAGTTGATTTGTGTCATCTTTGTCATTATCTGAATGTTTAATGCTTTAAGGGCCCGAACTTAACATTTAGAATAGTTGCCCTATATTATCATATTATATAACAAAATCTTGTCATCCCACCCAAGAAAAGACCAAACGTCATAATCCTAAATAATTCAAACACAAATTGCACTTCAATTATTTATCCACTAGCGAAACATTATCCCAAAGCTAGTGACCAAACGCAGGATTATTGTAATAAAAATAGGATAAAGAAAGAACAATCTTGGTAACCCCTCATCATAATCAAATCATAGAGATTCCCACAGCTCATCCGACGGCTCCAGCACACCATCATCATTTTGACACATTTCCATTCATCTTCCTTGTTTCTAACTGGCAGCTTACTTGGGAATCAAGTGTGTACTAAAAAGCACTAAGGGGTGATGAAATGTCCCAACATCACAACTTCCTTAAACTCTAATCACAGAATCATGAGCCTCACTTGCACCCTTTTGATGCCAACGTATGAACTTAGCGTTGTCAGAACCTTATTATTTTTGTTTAAGAAAAAAATAAAGTAAAAGCAGAACTCAGGAGGAACAACAGCAAGCAACAAGGAACACTTGAACCAGAAGCTTCACTGTCACCCACCACTTAAGCCTTATCTTTCAAGCAAATTTATTCACTTCCCTCAACACACACCCACCTATATACTATAAAGCTCCTCTAGGTATACAACTATCCTTCCTAGTTTAGCTTTCTATTTCTGCATTTGATTTTTACTTAGATGGGATCCTTCAAATTATCAAACGGAAGTTCGGCATTATTGGAGTCGTCTTGCGGCTATTTGCTGCAAGAATTACAGGCAAGTTTTTCTTTTTCCCAATAGTAAATATATTATTAGTGTTAACAAGAGCCAATTCACCTGATTGGTAACATGTGATCCCAATCTGGCAGATTATATGGGACGAAGTAGGGGAAGAACAACTCGAAAGAGAAAAGGTGCTGTTAGAACTCGAACAGGAGTGCCTTGAGGTTTACAGAAGGAAAGTCGACACAGCAAGTATCTCGAGAGCTCGCCTGCATCAGCAACTTGCAGAATCTGAGGCAGAATTCACTCATCTCCTTCTGTCATTAGGGGAAAGATCACTTCCTGGACGAGTAAGTTTCAGGGAAAATAGTTGGAATCGTATTTATACTGAAGCAAAGACGAATCAAACTGACAGCACACATCAAAGAACGCATATATTTATAAAGTGACAAATCTATTATTGAAGTCGTGCAAGAGTAATGACATATTTTTACACTTTGAATTCTGTGGAGCAAATAAGAAAAAGCCATCATGATTTAGTTACAAAGTACCATATAAAGCACGAGAACACTTTCTCGGTGATTTCAAACACTGAACTCCAAGAACAAAACAAAGTGTAGTGAAACACTTGAAGTTTCTTGCATGCATGATTCACAAAAGAAAATTAATATGCAAAGTAGATGCAGGGTGGGAAGTTCTGGCTGTTCTGATTTTCTACTGGAACAAATACTTAATATATATCACAGAAGGGAATAATATAATGCTGAAAAAGCATGTTCTGCATTTCCTTAATTCAAGTGTGTTACTTCATGACAGCCAGAGAAAATGGCAGGAACATTGAAGGAACAGCTGAATTCTATAACGCCAGCACTGAGGGAGATGCAGTTAAGGAAAGAAGAAAGAGTAAAGCAATTCCGAGTGGTACAAGGACAAATTCATAAAATTTCTGCAGAGATAGCAGGTTGCACGGAGTACAATGACACATCATCATGTAGCGTCAATGAGAATGACCTTTCACTTAAGAAACTCGAGGAGTACCAGAACGAGCTTCAGAGACTTCACAGTGAGAAGGTACCACGGATAAGCATGCTTTTTTAAGTTGGCGACCAAATAAAATGAGAATACTGACGTATTTTTTATTTATTCCACAACTCATGTCCAAAAATAGAGCGACAGACTTCACCGGGTGGAAAAATACATAAGTACAATCAGAAATTTGACAGCAACTTTAGGAATGGATTCATCCCTGATCATTACCAAAGTACATCCGAGCTTGAACGAATTATCGGGATTGTCAAAGAACATTAGTGATGCTATTCTCGAAAAGCTTGATAGCACGGTCATGTCCCTTGAATCAGAAAAGCAAAAGCGACTTGGAAAGGTAAAGTTTCCAATAATCTTGTGGGCCTTTTTTACCTGAATATGGGGAAAAGAACTATTCATTTCAAGCCCCAGAAATTGAACTCTATCATTCTTGCAATTAATTCAGCTTCAACAACTTGGGAAAGCATTGTTTGACTTGTGGAATCTTATGGACACACCATACAAAGAACGACAACAATTTCTTCATGTTGTGAGTCTCTCACCAGTAGCATCAGCTGAGATATCAACTCCTGGAACTCTTACCCTTGACATATTGCAGCAGGTTTGAATACATACATCTGAAACCTCTCTAGAGCATTAGTGGTGCTAATTATCCAAATGTTATTCACATGATAAATGTTTGAAGGCTGAGACTGAAGTGAAGAGACTGGATCAGTTAAAAGCAAGCAAAATGAAAGAGTTTTTCTACAAAAAACAATTAGAGCTTGAGGAGATATGCAGCAGATCACACATGGAAATACCTTCAAGATTGGAGATGGAGAGGATAATCAATCAAATAAACTCAGGTTAGTTTGAGTTTTTCACAAGAAAACTTTGCCAGGTGTTGATTACGCATCTTTGTAACTAAATTATATCATGAAATAGGAGAGATTGATCACGCCGATCTCCTCACAAGCATTGATGAGCAGATATCAAGGGCTGAGGAAGAAGCTGCCAGCCGAAGAGCAATCATGGAGAAGGTAGAAAAATGGATATTGGCACGTGATGAGGAGCTTTGGTTGGAAGAGTACAACAGAGTCAGATTCTTCTCTTCTTCATATAGAAACTCAGGCGTACTTAGCAATTTTCCCTTTTTCAAAAGGAAGTCATATGAAACAATTATTTTGCGTTTTTCTCAATTTTCTTCTGTTTCTCATTCTACAAATATTGAAATATTTGCCTTCTTTTTATGGGGGAGGGGGTCTTTTTTCAGTAAAACGTGATTGGCTGCAATTGGTGAATGGTGATCAACAATAGTGTTTCAATGATACATTTTCACAAGTAACTGATCATTCTGACAAAAAATAGAAAACTAAGGAATCCGAGAGAACTTTTACTACAAACTTCATCACTTAAAACCCTTTTTGCAATTGTTTTACTATTTCAGGATGAAAATCGGTATTCTGTCAGCAGAGGTGCTCACAAGAACCTTAAAAGAGCTGAGCGCGCCAGAGTGATGGTCAACAAGATACCAGGTTATTGTTCTCCAAGTTATATTATGTTATGTCAACGTCTTAAAGAAAAACATGAAGTGCTACTATCAAATACACCCATGTCATTTTCTTTGCATTCATTTTCTGGCAGCTTTGGTGGATTCACTGATATCTAGAACTAAACACTGGGAAGATGAAAGAACGAAAGTTTTCCTGTACGACGAGGTAGATTCCAATCTGGAATAACTACATATCGAGTTTCATTTATGGTGTCCCTTCAAATATATTTCCTATGTTAACGTAATAAAGAATTACCTAAAAACAAACCCAACAGGTAACAGAAAATGCCAATATTCAAATATGTACCTATAGAAATTGTGAAGTAACAATCATGAAAATGCAATTACACACATCGAGCTGGTAGGATTAGTCACCACACCAGCATCGTCAAATTTTTAAACATAGGATACATCAATCTTTCTAAGAAAGACTAGACACCCTTAACGCATTCATATATGATAGAACCCAAGCCTAAAGTAATTCGATAAGCATTGTATGATGATTCATTTTGAAGTATTTCCTTACTACAGGTTCCTCTACTAGCAATGCTTGAAGAATACAACATGTTGAGGAAGGAAAAGGAAGAGGAGAAACAAAGGCAAAGGGTGAGACCATAATGACACAAAGAATAGAATATGCGCAGTTTAGAGGTTACCATTTTATTTGTGACTTATGATACCATATATATCATGCAGGAGCACAAGAAGGCACAAAGTAAAGTAGCAACCCAGCATGAAAGCCCCTTTAAAACAAGGCCAGGCACCAGCAGTTGGCGTCTTCTAGATAAAAACTCAAGCAGAAGCTTCCATACTGAAACTCCTCCAGGTAGAAGAATTTCGACTGGATCAAATGGCCCTGGCTCACCCACTCAAAGCATAACTTCCAGACAGGGAGGAAAGAAAGCAAATGGACAAAGGATATATGATCAGAAGGGATTTGGTTATCATCTTAGAGAAGACACGCTTTCAGTTGTCTCATCGTACTCTGGCCCCTTTTCACCCTAGGATGTGGTTGTCAATTATGAATTTTCTTCGTTTTCTCAACTGACTATATCAGCAATTAGCACATAATAAAGTATCCCTCAAACAAATAAATGGATGTTTACAGATTGCACATAATCCAAAAGGCTACAACAGCACGACCAAGTCCAGTATGTAGCCTTCTGTACAGCTTTTCTGAATGGGAGAAAGTATGGAATATGCAATTACTAGCAAATTTATACAATTGGCAGGATGAGATTTTGTATCATAACACATGAAGAAGCATTTTCTCATCTTTTAGGGCATAAGAATTATAGTTAAATATCTAACTTAATTGGAATGAGGCATAAAAGCACAGAGGATAAAGACCACAAGAGCTCCGGATTTTCAAATACTAAATCATATAAAAGCCTCTGAAAGTTCAGCATTTAACAAAAGAAACACACCTGAGAATCATTAGGGCATAAACTACATTCAAATGAGTGAAGGGGCTCTTCAGCCAACTCCCAAAAACACAAGACAGTGCTTTCTACCAAGAAGCTGAATATCAGTCCGTCTTTTTGGAGTCTGCACAACCAGTAATCAACAAAGTATGGTATGACATTTTAAACAAAATAATGGCGAGAACGGGAAAAGTAAAAGGCATCACCAACTACAAGAACTAATATAGCACGTAACGGTTTACTATTGTTCTTTAAAATGCACCTAATTTTTCATCAGGCTTAAACTTTTGGAGTCTGAAGCATAAAATCTAAGCATAGCAAACACTCAACAGAGAGAACACTGAAACCAAAACAGAGCATTTTCTTCAAATATTATAAATCCACCACAATTCGAAACAGTGACGAACTTATGCACAAGAACAATAACAAAATCTAAGTAGACTTCCTGAAGAATGCATCGATTGAGCGAGTAACAAAAGGAAGAGGCTCGTTGGTGGCCTTCTTCCCCGCGCGCGATTTAGCCCCATCTCTGGGAGTGTTTTGTTCAGACGGGCGAGAGGGCATGGGAAGGGAATCAAACAGAAAGTCAGATGTAGGACGGTGTCGTTTGACGGCAAGGCGCAGGTGCTCAAGCCTCACGGTTCTCTTCTTCTTCTCGAGCGCGACGCGCGCGGATTTCTCGGCGAGGAACTGAAGGAAAAGCTCGGTTGAGGAAGCGATGAGAAATAGGGCTTCCGAGTTGACCCTGTTAATGTCCTTGTCGATCTTCATTATGGACTTAACCCTGCGGGTCGGGATCTCGAGGCTGCGTGGCTCGTCGGCGCCGAGTTGGTTTCCGTCTTCTTGCTCTGCCATAGCCGGAAGTGGTTTTTTTGTAAAATGATTGGCTTGGGTTTGGGCTGGGAAGCGGAAAAGTGATGTGGGGGCTCTCGGGTTGGGAATTCCGAATTGGTTTTGTTCGGCATTTCGCGAGTCATTTGGCGGGAAATGGGAAATTATTGACCTTTTTTATTTGCTAGTGCAT